TGAAGAGAGAGGTTATTATGGTTTCTTAATATATTATATGAATAATATATTAAAGGAGAAATCATATAGTTTAATTAATATTAGACAAGAATCAGTTAGGAATTAATTATGTGGCTAAAAGACATTAATTAAATAAAGGGGACTTAAACTGTCAAATGTGTGATAGTTGAATATTGGGGTGGGAAACCTTATGGACTAGGCATAGACAAAATTAAGGATGTGTCCATCTTAATTTCGGCCATAAGGGCCCTATTCCAGAAGCTTCCTTGGATTGCTTAAGGCCTAAGTTGTCCATTAGGGTTTTGACTAAAACCCTAGCAACACAAGTATAAATAGAACCCCTAGGGCATCAGTTTTCGGCCACTTGAAACCCTAAAAGAGTTCATAGCCAAAAATTGTGCCTCTCCCCTCTATCCAATATCATCCTCTTGCGTGTGTGGTGTTTGTAAGCCATTAGAGGAGTGCCATTTGTGACTCTAAGATTCAAGACAAGAAGATTCAAGCCATTGTTGAAGAGGTAATCATCTATATCAGTTTTCATATGTTATTTTCAAAATATACATGCTAGATCTAGGGTTCTTAAGTCTTGGATGAATTGCATGTACAATAGAGAAAACTAGATCCAAGCGTTAGGGTTTGCATGAGCACATAGGATGTTCTTTTGTATAAAACCCATCACATAGTACTATCAAGTTGAGTAAGACTCAAAGTCTAAGTACTGATGAAGAGATACCTGACATGAATTGAGTCCCATATGCTTCGACTGTAGGATCGATCATGTATGCAATGACATTGACTTGTGAGTCGGAGTACATTGTAGTGAGTGAAGCATCTAAGGAAGCGGCTTGACCGAATAACTTTATCGGGGATCTCAGAGTCATTCCAACTATTCAAGAACCAACGGAAGTGTTCTATGATAATGAGGGTGTGGTTGCTTTGATGAGAGAACCAAAGGATCATGGTAGATCCAAAACATATCGACTGTAAGTACCATTATATTCTACATCGGGTAGAAGAAGGACACCTTCTGGTGAAGCGAGTATCATCAGAAGATAATGTTGCAGATCCTTTCACAAAGGCTTTGAGCATAGTCAAACACTACCAACATGCTAGGAGCATAGGCTTAAGAGACGATATTAGTTTTAGTAGTTAGGTGATATTTTGAAACTTGTAAAAAAATAAATGTAATTGATTGGTGAATGAATAATACATAATTATTTATGAGTATTATACTGCCTTATTATATCATTTATCATTGTGTTTCTTTTTGCATGTTTACACTTCCTGGGTAATTTTGAATTATACAAACTTCCATAGTCGTTCATACTTTTGGAAGTAAGTAGTGAATTAAGACTGTCATGAATGGATTGTAGATTGTCGATTGAGGTTATGACATTGCAATTTGAATTGCTACAATATTCATGAGTACTTTGAAAAATAAGGATTTTAAGTATTGGATAAACCTACTCTTAAAGATTACTTCATGGATCTTGTCATGAGTAATTCTAAGATGATAATATCTACTATTCTTAAAGCGGAGATATATAGTTCATAGTTTACATATCAGTTATGCATTGGTTTGCTCAAACGCATCTCGTAATTGGATGTTATAAAGGGTTATTCCATGTGTTATTTGATATGTAAATTGTATTATTATATGGCCAAGGTAATTCGTTCCTTTTTCCCTAATAGGAAAAGCGATATCATTGGGCCCCTCGATGATTTGATGTTGACATTATAAGTGTTGGGCCCAACCAGGAATAATTGATGTGTTCAATTTGAAGTCCAATAAAGTCTTTACAAGTCGGGAAACCGAGAAACATAATCTTGGACGATGATATTGATTTCGATCCATGTCTCGTGTCCATACAATATCTTGTAGAACGAAGGAATAGTTGATCATTTATCTTATGGCCAATAACTGATTTGAATCAGAGTTTGGCAATGACTTTGGAAAACACTCTTTGCTGTTTACTTCAAGGTCTATACTTGCAATTGTAGTTACAAACTTATCCAAGTGGGAGACTGTTGGATTAAGGTGTCTAAGCCAATAACTAAATTAATATATTCTTGAATTAAGAGTAAAGTCCTTTTTGGGTTGCCCTCATAACTAGTAACTGAATATAATGACTTTTGGAGAGAGAGAGAGAGAGAGAGAGAGAGAGAGAGATACTGATTTATTAATTTGTTATATGATTGACAAATTAATTAGAAGTCAAAATGAATGATTTATTAATATATTATATGATTAATATATTAATTAAAAATTATACCTGTTAATTAAGAATCAATCGAAAATTAATGGGAATTAAGTTTGTGATTAATTAGATTAATTGATAGTGCAGAGACTAATGGTGACAATGTTTAAAAGTTGAGCATTGAAGGCTTTCAGAACCTTCCCATAAGGGGGATGGTTTTTTGGGAGACTTCTTAGGGTTTCTAGGAGCCTTAGGGAGGAAGAAAAATGATAAGAGTTATCTAGGGCTACTCGACTTATTTACACTTCCTTATTCACCTATAAATACCCCCTTAAGGGTTCTTTATTTTCCTCTCTCACCTCCCTCATACAAAAGCCGAAATTTTGCTCTACTCTCCCCCTCTCTCAAGGTCTTCTAGTTGCTAGGTTTTTGGGTACAAGCCATTAGAGGCATCCAAGCTTTTAGTGCTTGCTTTCAAAGAAAGTCAAAAGAGATTTTGGTTGATTAATTGCTACATTAATCAAAAGGTATGTAACCCTAAACCTTTTTTAATTTCGATTATACTAGGGCTTCCTAAGGTTTCTTGATATTCATAGTTAGTTGCTATCATTAGAGAAAACATAGATTCTTTCTAGGTTGCATGTGAACTTAAGGGTTTAAGAGTTTTTCCGCCACATGAATTTTTATAACCTAGAAAACCCATCATTACCACCACGTTGTGGCAACCAAATTACCATGTTGTGGGAAGACAAGAATCCCAAAAATCAAAACTTGAACATAAGGGAACTTCAAAGAATAATACTTGGAAAACAGGGTGTTACAATATGTGTAGTTTTCAATGAAAAAAAAACCGACAAGTCTTTTAAAGTTTTATAGATGTAGTTATGACGTTTTTTCCACATAAAATTTAGCATACCAAAAAAAATGTTTGATTTGGACCAACTTCAACGAGAAAGATGGAACGATCCATAAGTCAAAAAATCGTGTATCATACATGCTTGGAAAGATTTGATTGTGTAGTTTCCAATAAGAACGATAAGTTTTTTGGAATTATGTAGAGAAAGTTATGATATTTTTGTGACAACCTGTCCGGTGTCCAAAAAATATTTGGTGGTCTAAAAATATGTTATGTGGTATGAAAATATGTTCCAATTTTGTAAGATCAATACACTGTACTTGTGTTTATGCCACATTTCACTTAAGTTGCTTCAATTTTATTTAGAAAATTAATGAACTAACGATGACTTAACCATCACAACCAATAGAATATATATATATATATATATATATATATATATTAATCACATTATTTTGTGTATGTACGGGTAGAACTATTTCAAAAATCAATATACTCTAGCCTATATTAATATGGGCTATCACTTAATTAGTGCATAAATTAGTAAAAATTAAACATCATTACATAAAATTAATTAAAGTTAAAAATATAACTATATAAATAAATATAAAAAATGATAAACCACGTCATTAGGGCATGTTTGGGTTAGCTTTTTTAGCACAAAAGTGATTTTTAAGAAAAAGTGCTTATTAACTTATGGCTTTTAGGAAAATCTGATTTTAAAAAGTGTTTGGATAAGAAAAACTGCTTTTTAGGAGTAAAATGACTTAAAAAACTAGGATTTTCCAACTTTTTGAAAGCTTTACTTTTTCCTATCAAAAAAACTGTTTTAAAAAGCGTTTTTTAATTACACAAACACTTTTTTAGCATATTAGCTTTTTGAAAAGCTAAAAAGCTAATAAGCTATTTTAAAAAAGGGATAATGACTTGATAGGGTAAGATACTTTTTGAAATGTACACATTTAGTCCTTATTCTTTTTTTTTTTGTAAAATAAACCCTTATACTTTATTTTTTGTAACAATGCAATCCTTGTGACCGGCTATACCCGGTATACCGGTCATATACAAATTTTCTTTTAGGGAAAATGACTTGATAGGGTAAGATACTTTTTGAATTGTACACATTTAGTCCTTATTCTTTTTTTTAGTAAAATAAACCCTTAAACTTTATTAATATGTACACATTAGGTCCTTTTCACCGGATTCTACAGGTTTTGCTGATGTAGAAGCACAAGTGGCACTAAATAGCAATTAATTAGCTTAGTTATCGGAGGTGGGTGATCCTCCAGCAACAAGAAAAGGGCGACGACCCTTCTCTTTCTCGTCTCTCTTCCTTCCGGTCGAACAGCAACAGCCAAACACCCTTTACCTGTTGTGTTTCTCCGATCTGTCTCTCTTTGCCTCCATCTTTGAGATATGTTGCCAGAAAAAGAAGAAAGAATCGACGAGGGGGCTACCAGAGCAGCTCCTCGCCGCCAACTACCGTCTCTACTTCCTCCTGCCTCCCCCTTTGACCTTGTTGTTTTTGCCATCATTCCTCCTTGCTACCAGTGATGTGTAGGAACACACAAAGGAGTCGCCGGAGATCGGGGTTCTCCTCTTTTTCATGATGAATAAAAGTTGGAAAAATCTCGTTGTGGATATGTGGATGCCACCTGGGAATTTCATTTCAACAAAATAAAAGAAAGGGAAAATAACTTGATAGGGTAAGATACTTTTTGAAATGTACACATTTAGTCCTTATTCTTTTTTTTGTAAAATAAACCCTTCCACGTTAGCAAAACCTGTAGAATCCGGTGAAAAGGACCTAATGTGTACATATTAATAAAGTATAAAGGTTTATTTTACAAAAAAAAAAAGAATAAGGACTAAATGTGTACATTTCAAAAAATATCTTACCCTATCAAGTTATTATCCCTTTAAAAAGTTATCCCAAACACCCCTAAATGACTAACATCGAATCCATCCCAAGACCCATCATATCAATGGGAGAGCCGTAATGATATTTTAACTTGTCAATGTTTAAATTCTAAATATTCTGTTTGGAATTTGGCACCTTACCAATAGACTGCTATAAAAAAAACATAAATTTAAATAAGATTGAATTACAATTTTATATTATGTTGAAAAGTATTTTCTTACATAAATTTGAAAAAAATGCATAATACATAAACAAACATTCTTAACCTAAAATAAGCTTTTAGTTTTTGTCAGTTTGATAAATTCAATTTTCTATATATTAGTATTAATTATTGATTACTTTATTCCCGTTGAAATAATGTTACAATGACTATATATTATTTATATACAATATTAAATGTGAAATTGCATTATAATGAAAAATTGTGAAATTTTATTTTGAAAACAGTCTCGTGACCCCCAGCAATCTCTTTACCTCCCTCCATCTCTCTCTCTCTCTCTCTCTCTCTCTCATCAGTGCCGGCAACAAACGACTGGTACAGATCTTCATTTCTACGGCATCGATTCTATACCTATCTTCATCTCCACTTATCGTTTCTCAAGCTTGCACAAGGGTACATTTTCATTTCTATTTTACTTTGAAACTTTCTTGAGATATTCACCAATCAATTTCAAACCATTTCTTCTTCTCCTGATTTCTGCAAATGGGTGTTCCACAAGAATCTGTCTTTGTATGTTTCGCGTCTGTTTCTCGATTTAAAATACGTGCTTTCCTGTGGATCTTAGCGTAGATTTAATCGCCTTACGATTATAGTTAGCTATATGTTCGTTTCCACTACTACTAGCTCATGGTTTCCCTTCACAGTAATGTCAAGATCCCCCTTTTAGCTTCTTCATCACCTCAGCTTCGAATGCCTGATTTTTCGGCATTTTTGTATTTTTTTCTAGATCTTTCTAATTTGGGGTTTTGACTGTGGAGAAGCTGCCGTCAAACTCTTCTTCAGAATTTAGACCTAATGATTTTTGTAGCTTAAAATTGTTAACATGTTCTGAAATCATTAAATTTGCAGGATTTGTAGCAACATAAAAGGGATTGGTGTCGATCTTTTGGAAAGGGGAGAAATTTGATGAAAATATAAAAGCAACTCATCGGAAATTGCGATCTTTTTAGAGGAAAAATGGCTTCCGATGTTCCATCTATAATGTCTCAAAGTGTGAGAACAAACAGATCTTCATTCAGCTCAAGTAATGGATATGAAACTCAATCTCACTATTCCGCCATTACAAACGGAGATGATTATGATAGCGATGGTTCAAATTTTGCACCACCGTAAGTTTTTCTCCCCCCCTTTTAGTTTCAAGATTATTATTTTGAAAGCCAAATTATCCTCTGATTCCAATGGTTCTTGCAGTACGCCAATGACCCTTTCCAATTCCATTCCAGCCGAGCTTGCTGGTGCAATTCCTTTGATTGATAAATTCCAGGTCGAGGGTTTTCTAAGGTCCATGCAAAAACAGATAAATTCAGGTGGAAAACGTGGGTTTTTCTCAAAAAGATCCGTAGGTCCCCAAGATCGTGAGAAGTTTACATTTGAAGACATGTTGTGTTTCCAGAAGGTAATCACTCATTCCGACGTTCTGGTTCCGATTCCGACCTTTTTGACATTATGTTTTGTGTTTCCCCAAATGGCTTTCTAACATGATGTGTCACAGGATCCTATTCCAACCTCGCTCTTGAAAATAAATGGTGATTTGGTTAGCCGAGCTGTAAAATTATTCCAAACCATCTTGAAATACACTGGAATTGATTCATCTGAAAAAGGGAATCAGATTGGCATAGAAGAAAGAATTGAACTTGTTGGAAAGTTATATAAACAAGCATTGAAACGCTCTGAGCTTCGAGATGAACTTTTTGCACAAATTTCAAAACAAACCAGAAATTGTCCTGATAGGTATGCACTTATTCCATTACTTTGTTCATTCTATTTTCGATTTTTTTTCTGATTCCATTCAATCACACCAAACAAACTCTTATGATGTTTTCTTCATTTACCTTTGTGTTATATATAGGCAACATTTGATAAGAGCATGGGAGCTAATGTACTTATGTGCATCATGCATGCCACCTAGCAAAGACATTGGTGGATATTTATCTGAGTACATTCATGATGTTGCACATAATTCCAATACTGACCCTGATGTGCAAGTCTATGCATTGAACACACTAAATGCACTAAAGTGTTCAGTAAAGGCTGGCCCACGACACACTATCCCTGGGCGTGAAGAAATTGAAGCTCTTTTAATTGGTAAAAAGCTCACCACAATCGTGTTTTTCTTGGATGAAACTTTTGAAGAAATAGCATATGACATGGCAACAACTGTTGCTAATGCTGTTGAGGAGCTTGCTGGAATAATCAAATTGTCTGCATATTCAAGTTTTAGTTTATACGAGTGTCGCAAAGTTGTTACAGCTTCTAAATCACCAGAACCCGGAAATGGTATTCATTTTATCATGAGTAATTTACTAAAATGGTCCTTGTGTTTTCTGATTTATACTGGTTTTAGTCCAAAAATTGAATCTTTTTTCAGCTTTGGTTCTTATTATCGATTTTGGTCCATGAAAAAAGATTCAATTTTGGACCAAACACTGTAAAGATCCAAAAGTATAGGGACCATTTTTGTTATTTCTCTTTAAGTTTTTATTAGAGTAGATTACATTTTGGTTCTAAAAATATAGTCATTTTACTTGAAACAACGACAAAAAGAAATTACAAAAACCTCAAATGTAGACCAAATTTCAAGATAAAAACTTTTGGGAACAAAATTGAAAAAAATCAGTTATATTCAAGGACCAAAAATGTAACTTGCTCTAAATTCTTAGTATATTTTCCAGCATAGTAATTTGAGAAATGGTTTTGGTGTAACAGAGGAGTATATTGGATTAGATGATAACAAGTACATTGGAGATCTTTTAGCAGAATTTAAGTCAGCAAAAGATCGAAGTAAAGGAGAAATTTCCCAATGCAAATTGACTTTTAAAAAGAAGTTATTTCGCGAGTCAGATGAAGCCATTGCAGACCCAATGTTTGTTCAGTTGTCATACGTTCAAGTACGCATTATGCAATTTACTTTTATTTAGTGTATTATTGTCTTTTTATTTTATTTTATAAATACATGTATTCTTACATATGTTATTTGGCAGTTACAACATGATTATATCTTAGGTAACTATCCGGTTGGGAAGGATGATGCTGCACAACTGTCAGCATTGCAAATTTTAGTTGAAATAGGATTTGTTATTAAACCAGAGTCATGCACGTTAGTTATCTCTCTATTTCTTTATATTTTTTTTACTTTTACTTTTACTGTTTTTCCATTCAAGTATTTTAACAATCTTTAATTTTTGTGCAGTGATTGGACTCTGCTTTTGGAGCGATTTCTACCCAGACAAATTGCAATTACCCGTGCTAAAAGAGACTGGGAGTTGGATATACTTGGTCGTTATCGTTCCATGGTAAAACCGACCTATTCATCAATACTACGTAATTTTGAAGATCCTATCTAGTGCAAATGTTTCATCATAATAATCAATTCTTTCATCTGTTTGTAAAGGAAAATCTAACAAAAGAGGATGCAAGACAACAATTTTTGAGGATTTTAAGGATGCTTCCATACGGGTATTCAGTTTTCTTTAGTGTTCGTAAGATTGATGACCCCATTGGACTTTTACCTGGAAGAATCATATTAGGCATTAACAAACGTGGGGTAAGTCTTAAATTTTCATTTTGATTAAAATATAGTTATTTATAATTTTTTTTATATATGTATTTATCTTGAAAACGATTTTTTGTTTGTGCATAGGTTCACTTTTTTCGACCGGTTCCCAAAGAGTATTTACACTCCGCTGAATTAAGAGATATAATGCAATTTGGTAGCAGTAACACTGCTGTGTTTTTCAAGATGAGAGTTGCGGGTGTCTTGCATATATTTCAGTTTGAAACTAAACAGGTTTGACCATTTTGATTGACTTTTCTTATTTCTTTATTTTGAGCCTTCTAACTATAATCTATATATATATATTTTCAAATAAAGGGTGAAGAAATATGTGTTGCACTTCAAACACATATAAATGATGTTATGCTACGTCGATACTCTAAAGCACGAACTGCTTCTAATACAAGCTCTATTAATGGTGATATTCCTACAAATTCAAAGCCTCCAATTGCTGATGTTGGTGAAAAACGTGTACAAGATTTGTCAAAAGCTCTTGAGGAATGTGAAAAAACTGCAAAGCAAGTGAGTAATTTGGTTTCTCTATTTTTTTTTAAAATAATAAAGCACATTACAAATTTGGTCCCTATGCTTTGAAATGTTACTGAAGTTGTCCTTAAGTTTTCATTTTGTTGCTGATGTAGTCCTTCTGACAAGACATGCAAACTTAAGATGAGAGAAGATTTCAAAAAGTGGACCAAACTTGTGATTTTTTATAAACTATAGGGACTGAATTTGAAGTTAAATTTTGTTAATATATCGGTAATTTACTTGTATTTTATTTACTGTGGTAATTTAGCTATCAGACGAGTTGAATGAGAAGCAGAAGAAAGAAATGAACATGCAAGAAGAAATGGAGACATTGAAAGATATGTTGAGATCAGAAAAGAAGAGTTTGGAAGAACTATCATCTGAATATAATGAGATTAGATCTTTGTGTGAAGAAAAAGAATCTAACCTTCAGGTAATCATCTTAAGTTTTAAAAAAAAATCATATTTTGAGAATTATATTTCTTGATTTTAATTTTGAGTTATTTTTTTAGGCTGTATTGATTGAGAAGAGGAACATGGAAGCAAGGCTTTCACAGCTTAGTAAAGGGGAGTTGGAAAATAATACCAAAAAGGAATTAGTTGAGGCAACTAATCAGGTCTGTATAATTTTAAATTCTTATATATGTTTTTGATTTTAGAGTAAGTTACAATAATTTTAAATTCTTACAGGTGTTACAAAAGATCCAAGATGAGTTAAGAACACGTAACTCAGAGTTGCATGCAGCTGAAGAAACCAAGAAGAAATTGTTAAATGAGAAAATGTTACTGGAAGAAAGAATTTCAAGACTTGAAAAGAAGAAAGTTGATGAGGTAATAATCTAAGTTTTATTTTATTTTCTTTGATTATTCATATTTAGTTATGCATTTATGTATATTATAAAGTTTTACATTATTAATTAGATACGGATGCTTGAGAAAGATTTAGAACAAGAAAGAAAGATGACAAAGCCTCGAATTTCTGAACTTGAGAAGAAAGTAGCAGAGCTCACACAAAAAATTGGCCAATGCAGAGTCTACTCTTGCAATCAAAGATAATGATTTATCAAATATGCATATAAATCTTAAAGAATTGGAAGATTTAAGAGAAATGAAAGAGGTAATTTATTTATATAATCTTCGATATAAGAGTAAATTACATTTATGGTCCCTTATTTTAGCTGATTTTGCACTTTTAGTCCCAACAATTGTTTTCTTGCAATTTTTGTAACGTCCCAAATGACTATTTTTGGTCTCCAAATGTAACTGACTTTTACAAATTTGGCCTCAAAAATAGTCATTTACTTGAAAAGGGACCAAAAACGTTACAAAACCTCAAATAAGGACCGAAATTGCAAAAAAAAACCTTTTCCGGACCAAAATTGAAAAATCAGCTACAATCGGTAAAAAAATGTAAGTTAATTATGATATAAATTATAAAATAGTGATATCGTTTTTTTTTTTTTTAGGATATCGATAGGAAAAATGAGCAAACTGCTGCGATATTGAAGATGCAAGCGACACAATTGGCTGAATATCAAGCTCTCTATAAAGAGGAATTGGTTTTAAGAAAACGATACTTTAACATTATTGAAGGTACAAACTGAAATTTTTTTTTTTGTTTTGTTTACGATGTTTTATTTAGTAAATATAATTTTAACATTTTTCTATCACAGATATGAAAGGCAAGATCCGAGTTTATTGTCGATTAAGGCCTTTGACACCAAAAGAGATGAACGACAAAGAAAAAGACGTGCTTACAAGTGTTGATGAGTTCACAGTTCAACATTTAGGAAGAGATGAAAAGATTAAACAACATTGTTATGATCGTGTGTTTGATGGAAATGCAACTCAAGAAGATGTTTTTAATGACACTAGGGTACGTTCAAAGAATAAAAAATTTATCAATTTCATTACATTTTTTTTTTTATAAAATGTTGATAGTATTTATTTTAATTGTTTGTGTAATGCAGTATTTGGTGCAATCGGCTGTTGATGGTTACAATGTGTGTATATTTGCATATGGTCAAACGGGAAGTGGGAAGACTTTTACTATTTATGGATCTGAAAATAACCCTGGGCTTACCCCACTTGCCACTTCAGAGTTATTCAAAATTCTGAAAAAAGATCGCAACAAATTCAATTTCTCTTTGAAGGTAACAATTATTTTTGTAACATAAACTTATTTTCATAACTAAAAAAATATTATTTTCTGATTATTGTTTAATGTTTATGTAGGCATACATGTTGGAGTTATACCAAGATACGTTAGTGGATCTTCTAATTCCAAAACAAGCAAAACGTGCAAAATTAGAAATCAAAAAAGACTCCAAGGTTAATTCAACACTTAACACTTAATCTAGACAAATATTGTGGATTTGTTTTTTGGAATGTAAGGGTAAAACGGTCATTTAACCGAAAATTTGATTTACGTAGGGAATGGTGACGGTTGAAAATGCGACAGTTATACCGATTTCAACTTATGAAGATTTGAAAAATATTATTCAAAGAGGAACAGATCAACGCCACACAACTGAGACATTAATGAATGAAGCAAGTTCAAGGTCTCATTTGATTTTGTCAATCATTATTGAAAGTACAAATTTACAAACTCAATCAATCGCTAGAGGAAAGGTAAAAATTTCATTTTTTGTTCCATAACTTTTTATTATTATTGATTAGTGGTTTAACTTTTTTTTTTTTTTTTTTTTTTTTTTTTTTGAATGCAGTTAAGTTTTGTTGATCTTGCTGGATCTGAAAGGGTGAAAAAGTCGGGTTCTGCTGGAAATCAATTAAAGGAAGCACAAAGTATAAATAAATCACTTTCAGCACTTGGTGATGTTATTAGTGCTTTATCTTCTGGGAATCAACACATACCTTATAGGAATCATAAGCTCACTATGTTAATGAGTGATTCTCTTGGTGGAAATGCAAAGACTTTGATGTTTGTTAATATTTCTCCAGCTGAATCAAACTTGGATGAAACATATAACTCTCTTACGTAAGTTCATTATTATTCAAATTACATTTTTGTTCTTATCATTATATGAAATCAATAACTTTTTGCTTTTGTTTTTGTATTTTAAAGGTATGCATCAAGGGTGCGTTCAATTGTGAATGATCCTAGCAAGAATGTTTCATCAAAAGAAGTTGCAAGATTGAAGAAGCTATTGGCTTATTGGAAAGAACAAGCAGGGAAAAGAGGGGATGATGAAGAACTTGTGGAGATTCAAGATGAAAGGACACCAAAAGAGAAAGGTGATAATAGGCATTCAATGTAAAATTGAAGCATGATCTTTTGGGATTTGAAGAGAGTTTGTGTTCTTCACACTAATTTTACTAACATGAAAGATGGGAAAAACAAAAACAATGCATGAATTGTGTCACTAACCATGTAGCCTTTTAGTCCATAGTCTTTATATTCATGGTTTGAAAGTGGTTGGTTTTGGTTGATGGTGGGGTGGGTTGGGGGTGGGGGGAGGGTAGGGATAATGGTGGGGCATGGTTACAAATGGTTTATGTGTTTTGTATAGTATGGTATACTTAATGTGTATATTATGGATATGAAATCCATATCTAGTTCTTATGAATGCAACAAGTCATATTTCTATCAAGTTTAATTTCTTGTATTTACCTGTGGAAAACTGGAAATGGCATTTTTTTGATGAGTTTTCAACAATTTTGTAATTCAGATTCAAATGGTTTAAAAAAATAACGCTCACATTTCATAAATTTAAGTTCATGCGAAATATATTGCATAAATCTATTTGAGACATGTTTGATTCATTACAGTTCAATATATTAAATATGTGGATCGTGGAATTATCATTTATTGTATCGTTATTTAATCATATTTTTTAAAATCTTGTTCGTTCACATGTTTTTTTATCCCATAAAACTCTTTCTACGAATAGATATTATTTTATCCAGTCACCCCTCATTCCTTTAACTTGTACTATTCACATGCTCACTTCTTTCCTTGGTCTTAATGAGCTGCATTCCGAAAAGACTTGGTATGATGATGATGATCCAATGTTATTTATGAACTCCATCCTTATCACGTGACTTTATATGCATCTCTTGAAACAATAGTTGCATGCATGAGTGGTTGTTTTTAATGTAGTTATGGGTACGTGTACATGATATTGAATGTAAGAAATGTCAAGGAATGTTCAATCAGTTACTTTAAAACTCTATTATAGTTCATTCTATCTTTTATCAAACAAGGCCTAAAACATAGAATGAACCATTTTTATTGAGGTTCTTGTCATCAATTTAAGACATCAAAGTTAATAGATTCTTCTTCCATCATAACATATATATGATTCATGTGGCATAACTATATACCACTCTAAAATCGCTGATAAATTTGATTCTTTTTTACTTGTAAAATTTGAAAACCAACTAACATTATTTTTATTATTTTGACAATGGTTATGACCAACACACACTATCGGATGATGATACAGAAACCAACTCACATTATTTTCAAATCTCAGTTTGTAAATGGTAAGAAAAAAAAAGGAAAATCATACCCACTGGATGACTCAGGTTGAACCCATCACACGATGTTAAATTGCAGAATACTAACAATATTTTAGTCGTGCCAAAAATATTTATGGTCGGACTTAATTTTGCTACACTTAGATAGTATGACAACCCTTTAAAATATTTAATTAATTTGAGATATTATATATTATACACATCAATATATGACCAACGACATGAAAAAATGTGTATATAACTTTTGAACAATGACATAAATAAAACCTTTGAAACAATTGCTATTACATATGTATATGATAAATATGCAATTATTTAATTATAATTTTCTTTTTCCATGTAAATAGTTTAAATTGTCTCGATCGTTCATGTTAATATTTATTTGGTCATTATGATAAACATATTCTTTATAAAAGTCTATTAATATATCATTTTGTCGTAAAACACGACCATTCATCAAATATGTAGAATTTCATCTGATATATGCGTCGAATTGCATTTCAAAAAAGTATCATTTCTAAATTTGACATTTTTTATACTTTTGAGAGTAGTTGGTCTATCGGTAAATATTAGATGCGTCGTTACTTCAATTTTTTTTTAATATATGTATGAGTCCGTTTGGTTCGGTTATTGGTCAAAACCGAACCATAACCATTACAATTGGTTAATGTATTTCGATAGCCACTGGATGACGATTAACATTGGTTTTGGTTAATGATTTTAATCGGTTAATGGTTAATATCGGTTAACCATAATGGTTTACAATGACATAAAGATAAAAATATTTTTCTATAAATTTGAAAAACATAAAGTACATTGCTATAAAAAGTGATTGTGTATATATAATTGTATTGATAGAAGATTACTTATCCTATCTAATTTCAAATAATTACCCTTTAAAATTCTAAATCCTAATATAATTACATACTATATATTTAATATTATATTATATATTTTTATTAAAACATTTATTAATATTATTGGTTCGGTTCAGTTTTAAGTGGTTCGATTTTAAATGAAAACAATAACTGAACCATATGTATTCGGTTAATCAAAATTAGAAGCCGCACCATATCTTTTAGTAATGGTTAAGTTAAAATGGTTCGATTATATCCGTTAATTTGGTTTTGGTTCGGTTTTTTGGTTAATCTGCTCACCCCTACTTTGTTATATATTTTAAAAACTTGTTGGATTGTTGAATAAAAATAATGACGACAACAATGAATGTGAAATACATTAGCCGTTACACAATATATTTAAGTGCTGTTCACAAAAATGATGATATAAATTGTGAGAAAGGGATAATGCTTGAAAAGGGTAATATAATTTAAATTGTGTACATATTTAATCATTTATGCATATTTAGTCATTTATATATATATATATATATATATATATATATATATATATATATATATATATATATATATATTACTTTGTACACATATGACCACCAAATGTAATGGTCATATGTATACAAAATAAAAAACATAAGTGACTAATGTGTATAAAAAACATAAATAACTAAATATGTACAAAAATAAAATAAATGACTAGGCATATACACAATCTAAACTATGTTACCCTTTTAAATCGTTATTTATTTCATAAAACCACTCAAACCGAAACTTAAAAAAAATACTACAAAAAAACAGTTGGAAAGTAAGAGTTGGCTTACTTGACAGTTGACATCCCTCCTTCGCCTCCTCAACAACTTTTATAAGTCAAAAATTTCAATCCGGCTCGAAAGCCCGATCCGGATAAAGCTTGGTCGATGGCCAAAGGCCCGGGTAAACCCCAATATATGGTTCAAAAATAGGCATGCTAAAACCTATTGGCCAAATTTGGCCAAATTTTGGTCGTAAAATCCCCGATCAAAGGCTTGACGAGAATGCTTAGTAGTCATATGCCTCTTAACTAATTTACAATTTCTATACATACAAGAGGCCCTATAGCTTTGAATTTGCATAAATAAAATCAGATAGAAGGCATAACAACCTAAATCCAAATAAAATCAGATAGAAGTTGTTGGTGATTTTAGTGTTACCATGTCATTTTATGTAATTGGAACTAATATGTGAGCTAACGGGCTTCATAATTTGTACTTTAATATATGTACGGGGTATGTGCGGAGTGCACGTATGTATAAGATCGAATTAGAAGTCGGTTCAACGACAAGTCGAGGGTCCGGAAGCAGCGCCCCTTTGGCGGGGTCTAGGGGCAGCGCCCCTAGCGGGGTCCAAGGGGCAGAGACCTTGGCTGGGGTTCCGCTGCTTCCAAAGAAACCCATGACGGTTAACCCTAACCTCATTTATTATCAGTAAAACGGCTCTTCTCTTTGAGAAGATACACGAAAATGATTAGCTCTCTTTTTCTTCAGACGGACATAGAATCCTTCTAGCAATTTGGCTTACAATTTCTGTGCCTAGATTCGTAAGCGTCCTCTTGGATTATCCTAGGCTGAATTTCTTGCAACCTAGACATAGAGTAGAAATATCAGTTCGAAAAATATTTACACGATCCAAAGGGTATCCAGATATTAGGGGTGACAAATCGTGCTATCGTTTCGTGTTTCTGTCTGACACGACACGACACAACAATGTTTATGTAACACGGACACGACACAATGTCGTGTTTTTTCTAACTAACACGAAAACGAACGAATTATAAAACGACAAACACGACACGACACGACAATATAACATTTACTAAAAACTAGTTTATTTAATGAATACTTTATTAAATATAACACGAAAAACACGATAAAGAACTTCTAAATCGTGTCAATTTCATGTCGAATTTTGAACACGAACACGACACGACGTCATGTTTTTTACTGCTAACACGAACACGAATTCAAATTTCAGTTTCGTCCCAATTTCGTTTCTTTTCGTGTATTTTTGTTGTGTCGTGTTATAAATTAACACTCGTACCAGATCTCCAACATAAACCATACAGAAGGTGCACTAATAAACTTACAAATAGAAAGTAAGCATAAATGGTATAAAGTTTAAACCTTTTAACACTAGAGTTTAGTTCAATACCTAAACACTTATAGTTATGTTTTATCCTCCTCTATGTTAATTTTCATTTGAAAGACGTATCAAGTAATCTAATGTCATATCATTCACGTATTCCACACTTTGCACAATTGCACTTATGCCTAAAATTTATCGGGTATTGTTATTTGGACGAATTCTTTCGTCAATACGTCTGAAAATTGTAAAATGTATTATCTTGAACACTTTTCAGTGGCCAATTTTCTTAAATTTACAGCTTTAGCCCTTTTTATTATAGTATACTTTCAGTTTTCATCCTTTAGTTTCAAAAATTACTTTTATTCCTTTTATATATATATATATATATATATATATATATATATATATATATATATATATATATATATATATATATATTAAAAAACGTTCGACGTTAGTTAGTCGGTTGATTGGGATCGAAGGATTAATAAAAGATTAATAGGAGACCTTAAATTATAAAAAAAAATATTATCTTAAAAAATAAATATTATCAATATTATAACAAAATAAATAAAATAACGATAAAAATATACTAATCTAGTGTTTTTAAAATAACGGTGTTCTTTTATAAAAACCATGTTCTTTTATAAACACATCCCTTCTAATACTCCTAAATTTTATACATTTTGTTTCAAACAAGATTTGGACCCTTAATTCTCAGTTATGACTATCGAATTTAAAACAAAAGTTATTCAATATTTATTCTAGAATTATGTTGTTTACTTGGTTTTTATATTGGGATAATGATTTAACATGGTAATGTATTTTTCTATTTGTATATATTTGGTCACTGAGTTTTTTTTCGTCCATATTTACCCCTTTAACTGTTAAACTGTACACATTCAGTCCTTATGACCGGTTACTTCAGGTTAGCCGGGAAAAATGTCTTAATAGAGTAATATATTTTTCATTTTGTAC